TTTTTAAAGCTATGCCCTCTTTTTGCAGATGGAACACGTATGTTGTGGATGGACACGATGTGGAGGAGCTGTGCAAAGCTTTCTGGCAGGCTAAGCAGGTCAAAGACAAACCCACCTGCATTGTTGCCAAAACATTCAAGGGCAAAGGACTCAAAAGTGAGTGTGGCTTTCATATGAGAGTTATTTTATTTTAGTCTCCGACATACATTTGAGGTTTGTTCATTCCTCGGCTGTAGATATTGAGGATCTTGACAACTGGCATGGAAAGCCCATCCCTAAGGACAAGGTGGACGGCCTCCTGAAGGAGCTGAAGGCTCAGATCCAGGTCCCCAACAAGACCCTGTGCCCTGAGCTGCCCAAAGAAGACACTGAACCCGCGGACCTCAGCCCCATCGCCCTGCTTTCACCCCCGGCATACAAGAAGGGAGAAAAGGTACCTAAACACCGGTCAATTGTGTTCCTTTTTTTATGCTGGCTAGTGTGAGCAGACTAGATTGTTTTTGAAACACCTGAAGTACATATGGTTTTGTCTCTGTCTTTGCTTCCACTCATTTCCTTCCTTCTCCGTCAGATGGCAACAAGGCGTGCATATGGCGTGGCACTTGCCAAATTGGGCGAGGCAAGCAAGAGAGTGGTGGCCCTGGATGGAGACACTAAAAACTCCACCTTCTCAGAAACCTTCAAGAAGGCCTTCCCTGACCGCTACATTGAGTGCTTCATCGCTGAGCAGAACATGGTACGCAATATTTACATCTTCACGGGGGATTTTTAGGCGTTTTTGCATTTGCCAAGTGACCAAAAGATTAACTCCAATTTATGAAAAGGGATAAATATAGTTCAGGTTTAACTCTTTACTCTCATAATCTGCTAAACTAGTCTAATCTGTTTCTATTCATTCTCTAGCATGATAATCCCATCCTGTCACTTCCGTAAGGGTAACGCTAACTGATGTCTTAACTTGCTGCTGCAGGTGGGAGTGGCCATTGGCTGCGCCACCCGGGACCGCACGGTTGCATTTGCCAGCACGTTTGCCGCCTTCTTCTCCAGAGGCTATGACCAGATCCGTATGGGAGCCATCTCCCAGTCCAATGTGAACCTGGTCGGATCTCACTGCGGAGTCTCCATCGGTAAGCTGAAGAGTCATTTGATTTGTCACAGGGCAAAGTGAGTGTTCCCTTTACCTGACTGATCTTCTCTGCCTTCAGGGGAGGACGGTCCTTCCCAGATGGCCCTGGAGGACTTGGCAATATTCCGTGCTATCCCAACATGCACTGTGTTTTACCCCAGTGATGCCGTTTCCACAGAGAGAGCTGTTGAGCTCTCAGCCAACACAAAGGTGGGTAGGCCACCTTGTGGTAGAACATGGTGTCCAATATGTTGTCTTAACATAGCTGGAGTATCATTCTTATCATCTCTCTACATTTCCAGGGTATCTGTTTCATCCGTACCAGCAGACCAGACAATGCAGTCATCTACTCTCCAGATGAGAAGTTTGAAGTGGGCATAGCCAAGGTGATGATCAATACAATTATTTTACACTCTATTATTATATGTAGCTTTTAGCAACAAAAAAGCAATTGGAATGGACACCAGAGCATTAATGTATATGTCTGCCCAACAGGTGGTGCGCCAGTCTGACAGTGATTGCGTGACTGTGATTGGAGCTGGTGTGACTCTGCATGAGGCCCTTGCTGCTGCAGACATGCTGGCCAGTGAAGGTGAACACACACTGCCCTCTGGTGGATAGATGTAGGCATTAAGCCTGACATTTATAAGCACTACACCTAACTGTCATGTTTATTATACTATACCAGCTAACCAGCTGATGACCTGCATCCCCTTAATAACAAACAATCGATTTGCTCATGAACTTTATAGGGAAGAACATCCGTGTGATCGACCCGTTCACCATTAAGCCTCTGGATGCCGCTACTATTGTGGCAAGTGCCAGAGCCACAAAGGGACAGATCATCACTGTGGAGGACCACTACAAGGAGGGTGGGTTGATTTCTGTTTCTATATGCCCTTTTTACATTTTGAAATAATTCAATATAATATGTATCAGTGATGGTGTTTTGTGCAAAGTTATTCCTCAATCTACCAGGGTCCATTAGTAGATCATCATCATGTTGTGATGGTATGTCTCCTCTGTCCAGGTGGTCTTGGTGAAGCCGTTCTGTCAGCTGTGGGCGGGGAGCCCGGCATTGTTGTGACCCGGCTTGCAGTTTCCGGTGTTCCCCGCAGCGGGAAGTCCACAGAGCTGCTCGACATGTTCGGCATCAGCGCCAAGCACATTGCTAACGCCGTGCGTCAGACCTTTGCTAACTAAGGACTGCACCTTGTCTCCTGTGCTGTAGTCTCACAACAAAACGTATGCCTCATCTTGCAGCTACCCAAGTGCTATCTTTGTGGCTTTGGCTTGAGCGAAGTGTGTGCTAAACCTGTATTGTTATTACCGTCACAGATGGAGAGTAATGGGAATAGGAGGGCAGTGTTATCGAAGCCTGTAGTGTAATATTACTCCCTATTAAGCACCATCTAAAACCCTTTTCTCCCATTGGCTCTCGCAACATTCCTTTAGTTGTATTATGTTTTCAAAACAGTGTCTTCACTGTAGCTCTGACATCACTTAATACTGTAAACCCGATATCTTTACAGATTTAAAAACCTAAGTAGTCGCCCAGTTTCATGGCTTCTGTTCTGTGTTGCCATTTACATTTTTCACATTCCTTACAACCATGCATCATGTCTTTTCTCTTGACTGGCCTCCTTTTTTTGTTTCTTAAGCACTGTTACTGTTTGTCTTAACTCTAATGTTCTAGACCAGTTTTGCGGTTGTGTTCGTTCACAGCTTTTGAAGCTTAGCTGTGTTGGAGAACACTTCTTTCAGATCCAGTGTGAAATTGTTAACCAATTTTTTGTTTTAAACCGTTTGAGCATTCCTCTAAAGATTCCTGGCTTCATGGGCCCACAATGTTACTGGCGTTACAGGTCACTGGTGTCATTCCATTATACATGTGCTGTGCTGAATAAAAAAGAATTAACCCAATGCCATTGTGTTAGTATTTTTAACCGCCCCTCTAGCGAAGTGGTTCAATGGGTGGCAAAGTGAAAGTCCACCACATCGGGCCAGACTTGAGTATCAACTATTGCAGTGCAATTTTGTACAGATATTCCATTAGTTTGGAGAATATCACTTAACCTGATTGGTTATTGGCTAATGGCTACACAAGCTAAAAAAATCATGACATCAAGTGGCCAAAATCTGATCAGCTCATCTTCAGACAGGTTTTTAAATGGATCAGGACGAAAAGTGAGTGAATCTTTTTTCCTGAAACTTTCAGAATCTCTTTGTGAAATATGTCAATCTACTGGATTGGCACCGCATCTTGTAACCAGATCATCTATTCATATAATATTCTGCTAGCAAATGTTAGCATGCTAAGGTGCTGAACTTTTATGTAGACCATCGTTAATATACATTAAAAAAAGACTCAGTGTGATGGACAGCCAACTTTGGTAATGATCTTAAAGCTTTAGAAACAAGGTAGTAGGTGTGTGTTCTGATTGTAGAGAAGGGACAATTCCTTTGTCTAAAACAGACACTAAATAAGATGATGTATTTCAATTTAAATGGTAGGTCTCTGCGACATTCTCTGCTATGGAAACTATTAATCCTGGTGTTGTCAGACTGAGGTTAAGCGAGGGGTTGACTGTGGTCAGTGGTTACTGCACTCTCCTGTCAAGAGCCAAATGAATATTCTTTGGAGGCATCACTGTTTACCTTGGAAGAGCAGGTTGTGTTCTGAGGGTTTCACCGTGTACTGTTAACTTGTCCAATGTACTATTTGGAATATTTTGGGATTCTACTGTTGTACCCGTCATGAATAAATACACATAAACCCCTAATAAAATGACTAGACATCATATTAACGGTCCTGTTGTTCACACACACTCTCGACTTGAACATGAAAACGCACACACTTTGAAAGATTTAGTGCATATTCGTGTTGTAACTGACCAAATAGAGAGGGTCTGTCTGCAGGTTTCACCCCACAGTGAAAATCCTAGTTTGGCTCAACACTCAGCCAGTGGCACCTGCTTTGCTACGCTGTGAGTGTGAAGATGTACACGGTGCAGACGACATGTGCAAGCAGTTAATGTGCGTACAAACAGTATTGTTTGTACAGGGTGTAAAACGGGTTCATTGTCATCTTCTCAGAGTTCATGTTTGTTTTCATACATAGATGCTAGTGGAGCTTCGCCAAACATGGTTGGCTCCGGAATGAACTGTCTACCAACCCTGTCTCTTGTTTGGAAATGACCCAAGGTCAGTCTGATTCAGTCAGGAGAAGGCTTAAAACTGACAGTGGATCACAAATTCATGTGTCAACCCACATGACTATTTATCACATGTGTATGAAACTGTATTCCAGTATCTGTTTTTTGCCACCTGTCTATCTTCCATCTCCTCCACAAATATCTGTTTTCCACCTGATGTTAGCAGACAGTTATGAAAGGGTGAGGAGACAAGAGGGAGCAGGGCGGGTCTGTGTTTTTCATGGTGCTAAGAAACGAGGACCTCTGTTAACAATGTGAGAGTTTATTTTTTTTACCTCTACGCCTCCTAGATATTCCTTTTCCTCCTGCTCTCTCTTCATATAAGCATCCACTCTGAGTTGAGGGCAAGTGGAATGTGGTTAGAGAAACTGCACTACAGCTTTTGCTACATGTATTTATGGGGATAAATCGTCTCTGTTAAACAATTTCTTCCACAGTTTCTTTCCTTTGGCAATACCGTCTCTCCTGGACTTCAGTCTTGAAGATTTAAAAGTTTTGGACTTATTTCTACAAGAGCTCAAATTGAGTCAACTTTTAACAATGCAGATGCCAGTGATATGGATCACGTTCATTTGTCTGTGTGGCACAGTTTTTTGTGGACACAACTCTTTACACGACATGGATTTATACTTGGAAACCTCTTCTGAGTCACATGAATTAGAAACGGCAGCCGTTCAACAAACAGAAGTTGATAGAGGAGTGACCTCACTAGATACATATGCTTCTAGTCGAACCCTCCCTGCAGGTAAGTTTATTTTTGATTCTTTCAAGAGCTGCCTGCCTGCATGATCTGACTAATACATGCTTTCAAAACTAAAATAGCTTGACATTATTCACATAGATTGCAGAGTGAATTTATTTTTCTTATGTCTTGAATTTGTTTGTTTGGTCTGCTTTATGACTGGTGAAGAGGAGAATGGGATTGAGCATCTCCAGATGGAGGCAGGGCAGCAGAGGGAGCATCAAGGAGCCAATTTTAGGACGCTGGAGTCCAGACAAAGGAGAGGTGTCTGGTGGATGAGGAAGCACGCAAACGCAGTGGAAGCCAGTGCCTATAGAATAGTATGAAACTTTACTATTGACACATTATTATCCTGGTTAAATAAAGGTCAAATAAAAATTAATGTATATCTTCCATGTGGGCAGTTTGTTTAAACATATTACACCTCTGTTGTATGCTGCTTTGCTCCTTTGTTGAATCATTTGAGTGACTAATTGCAGGCAGGGCTGGGGGAGCCTCTGACGGGCTGGAAGAAGCGCGGGAAAGGAGAGGAGACCAGCACCCTCATGACTGAACTGAAGGAGCTCCATGATGAGAAACAACGACTGATGGATCAAGGGAATGCAGGAGAGGGAGAGGAGGAAGAAGAAGAGGAAGAAGAAGAAGAGGAAGATGATGATGATGATGACGATGATGATGACGACGACGATGATGATGACGACGATGACGATGATGATGATGATGATGAGGTTTGATTTTGTATTAATGATATTGTTTTGCTTTTGCCCTTTGAATAATCCATGAAAATAGTTTTCTTGCTGTAATTTATTTCTTAAATCTTCTGCATCAGGAAGAAGAAGAAGAGGAGGAAGAAGAGGAGGAGGAGGAAGAAGAGGAGGAGGAGGAGGAAGAAGAAGAAGAAGAAGAAGAAGAAGAGGCAACGGAGATCCCCAGCAATCAAACAGAAACATACTCCACTTTTACAGAGTCTCCTCTTAGAGAGTGTCAGACTGCTGACAGAGAAATCAGCTGCAGGGGCGTCGGCATGACTCACCTGCCAATCATCCACAACCTGCTGGCCACCAATCTGGACATGGCGGGTGTGTGTGTGTGTGGGGGTGTGTGTCTGTGTGTGTATGTGTTTGTGTTTGTGATGGATGGTACAGAATAGAAGAGCTGTGATATTGATTACATAAAAAATGGTTAATTATTAAGTAATATTATTTATTAAGGAGTCCAGTTGCTCTAAGTACAACGTTGATGCCATTAGCCATTTTATTTTATCTTTTGAAAAATCACTTGTCCAATCAGTAATACAAATGATTTAGCAAGAAACAAATAATACATTTAGAAATAAAAGCTATAAAAGTTATTTAAAATGCTTCAAAGCTAAAGTTTGTGTACAGATTAATACATGACATGACCTGTGAGAGAATTGAGTGTGAGATGTCGTATACAACCACTACATGTGCCACATCATATATCTTACTATGTGATTTGTCTTTAAAGAGAACAACATCAGAATCATCACTCCACAAGATTTCTCTGGCGTGCCGAACCTGGACACGCTGGACCTGAGTAAAAACAAACTGGATGATGAGGCGTTGAGCAGTAACCCGCTGTCTGTGAGTGACACCTCTCTTATTCACTGTCATTTTCCACAATCCAGTCTTGTACTCATCTGCCAACACATCACATCTATAAAGCGTGCATGTCTAATCATGCTCGAATAAAAAAATCTCACTTGCTACATTATGGTGCTACTGGGCGATACCTGCTCTTGCTTAACAGCTATTTTCTGAATTGTATGAGTTATAGTTTTGTGTCAAATTGATGCCGCCAAAACCAGATCCATCCATCCAACTTTAATACTTGTATCAGACCTGAAACACCAGTCCAGCCTGCTTTACCTTCTGCTATGGGAGTGTTACAACTGTAGCTTTTCCATTGAATGAACATGCTTACTGTCTTCAACTAAGGGAGTGTTACACATTTAAAAATAGGAGAGGCATAGCCCACAGGTAAACAACCAGTCATGTTCAATGTAGGTACTCAGTTCGTGTTTTAGTTTTCTTCATGAAGCCATAGGTGGTAATCAAATCAATCAACACTTTTCTGATTGCCAAGTGCCTGAACAAGTTTATTTTATGCCAAGATAGGGAAAATAAATGTCACATTTGTATTTACAAGTAGCTTAAATTATATTTTAAAAGCTATATTTTAAGCGGAACTGCAGTTTTTACTTTGACATTTCCACTAGGGGTTAGATTCACAGATTCAATCAACATTATTTTAGACACAGAAGTGAACATGTATTTAATGTGAACCACCAACATGGATATAAAGCAGGAAACACAGTATTAAAAGAACGGCCGCTGCAGTAAAGCTCTGCAGCAATTATTTTCCTTTCATAGGTGGCAAATTGTTCTGATAATGACACAAAAAGCTCCCTCTTCTGGAGAATCTGCATTTTGCTAAACGTGAATGAATGACTTTCTGAGTAACAAAACAGTTAAAAACTTAACTTTGCATCTAATTAAAATAAAAAGCAGGCTGTATCCTGTATCCTGTATCATTACAGTAATAAAAGAGCACGGAAAATGGCATTAATCCTTTTCTAAGAATAACCTCGGGTCTAACCTCTAAATGGCCACAGGCCGAGCTCAGATCCTGACCACACCGAGGCAGCCCACCACACTCTGACCAATCATCTCACGCTAACATCAGCGCACTCTCACAGCATTGGCTGGACAGGCCTGTTGGGAAACAGCTGCAGCCAATAATGTGGAGAATAAAAGCAAATTATTTTTGGATGAAATCTTTTTTTCTTCTTGATTTTTCTCCTCACGTAACAGTAATGACAGAGGACTGATGGACTGGCTTGAGGGATGCTGCAAAAAGATTCAGTCCACTGCTTTTAGTTGACACACATCTACCACAGTGGCTTTCACTGAGGAGCCACACAGAGCGGCTTTACTAAAAATACAACATGATAGATGACATAAAAGAGATTCACAGATTTGGTCAGTTTCTGTGAACTCTGGGATTGTGTCCTTCTCGGCAATTCGGGATAGAAAATTATGGATTTTGAAGACAAGTATATATTTTGTTTGTTTTATCTTTCTGACCCCTTTTTTTTTTGCTGCGTGTCATGCAGGACTTGACCTTTCTGAAGAAGCTGAACCTAGATGGCAACAAGCTAACCACGATCCCAGCGCTGCCTCCATCTCTTGAGCAGCTCAGGATCAACAACAACCAGCTCAGTACACTCACCCCTCACTGTTTCAAAGGTATAGGGTTGGTTTTTGTGTCTCTTTAAATGGAACAGGAACATATTTGATGACAATAATATAACTTCATATTCCTCTCTAGGTTTGACAAACCTGTTGATTCTGGAGCTGGAGGAAAACTTCCTCCATGAAGGCAGTGTGTCGCCGCTTACTTTCAGGCCACTACAGAGACTTCTGGACCTCCAGTTGGACAACAACCGCTTCCGTTCCCTTCCTCTGGGCCTTCCTCCCTCTCTGCAGGTGCAATGATATCACTTAACTGTAAATCCTCCTTAAAATATGTTAGGATTAGCCAAACGAGGCACCTGGGATTAAGACTTGTGCTCATGGTAGAAACTGACACTGTCCCAAATGACACATCCTTGTCATTCTGTGTGTTCTTTATTGTAGGAGCTGGAGATAAAAGCAAATCAGATTGAGGAGGTGACAAAGGAGGCACTGAGAGACTGTGTCCATCTGAGAGTGCTGGACATGAGCCACAACCTGCTGCATGAGCAAGGCATCGCTACCAAGGCCTGGTCCCGTCTCAAGTACGTCTGTCCATCCTGAGCTTTTGATTTTTTAACAATAATGCTCTGCAGTTTCTCCATCAGCCACAAGAGGGTGGACTGGTGTTGTTTGGGATTCACTTCATAACTCTTTTGTTATCAATGTTGTTGTCTAAGCAGTTATCAGTGAATGGGGTTATTAGTTAAAAGATTTAAAATAACCATTTCCATCATAAAAAAAACATTTTTATTTAAATTTCCAGTTTTAACACGCGTACAGGAGACATCTACAATAATTCCCCTGCCCCTCCCTCTCCACCCCACACTCAGAGATCATAGATATATAATTAAAAAAATAAAGTAGATTACACACTGCTACATCAAAGAGAAAACAACACAACATAAAAACAGGTAATGACAATAAGTAATCTGCAAGACTGTGGAAAACCGACAAACAAACAGCATTGTAATATCGTCCTACAATAAAATACAAAATAGGCTGAAACAGATTTAAGCCTAGGGGTATCCCCGTTCTTTACACCGGTTAGATCATTAAAGTGTGTCAGTTATTTAAATTCCTACAACTTGGGATGTAAAAATGATCATGATCAGTACTTATGATTTATTTTGCTGAGGTTTTGACTGGGTTCACATTTAAAGAAACACTTATTGTCCATACTCTTCTTCCCCCCCCCTGTAAGATAGAATGGACACACACACACACACACACACACACACACACACACACACACACACACACACACACACACACACACACACACACACACACACACACACACACACACACACACACACACACACACACACATCACAGAAGTTATGACAGCTGACCTTGTGTACTCGGATGAGCAGGCGTGTGAGGGAGAGCTTGAGGGCAACTGTGTGTCTGTTTGTGTATGTATGTCTCAATGTGTGTCTATGGTGGTGTGTGTGTCTGTTGTTTAAATATAGTGAATTCCTGTGGGCTTTTCTCTTTGCTCCCTGGGATCCTTGTGAACCACAGTGGGAGCTTCAGGGAAAAGTGAGTGAAAAAAGAAAATTGTTTAAGAAAGACATGAAACTGGAGAGACTTGTGCAGACTGGAAGATTTATTTAAAAGAGAAAATGTGAAATTGGGAGAATATATTTAGAGTAAGTTTAGCTGAAGAAAGAACGAAATCTGGAACACAAATGGATACAGTAAAAGACCATACCAGAGAGATGATGTGACTAGGCAGCGCTCTGAACCTTTGCTTGACTTGTGACTCGAATGTATTTGACATCTGACATTTGACCTCATTAGTCCTACCATTGGCTCTGCATGCTTAAGAGCAGGTCATTAATTTAAAAAGCTTCCCTGAGCAGAGACAAGTGAGTAGAAACACATGTAACTTGACCTGAACTCCAATGACACAGCAGGAGCAGAAACTTGAAAGGGCAAAGGTCATTTACCTGAGTGGCGTTAAACCATATTCCTCCCCGTGGTTGGATACTATTTAATTATGTACACATAATGATTACATCCAGGAAAAAAGCTTGTGGAGAATATATTCAGCTCTGTAGAAATGTGAAGAGAAATATACAGAGAGCGATTAAAACGCAATGGGAAGTAAATTGTTAAAGATAAAATAAACTGCAGTGTGCTGGTTCTGGTTAGTGGGGCGCCTCTGTTCCATGTCACACACTCACTCAGTGTTACTGTTGCCTCCTGATGGGGTTCAGGGATTGGACCCGTGCAGACTCGGAGGTACCCGTGGAGGTTGCCTGATGTTGATCTGGAGAGTGCAGTTTGTACCTGGGATTAGTTTCAGGCAGGATGTGCTGACTGTCAGCATCTCTGCTCATTATCTGCCTTTTTAACACATCTCATCTATGGTCAGTACTGGGTTTGAATGCATTTATTAAAGCAGAAGTGATCCGATTTTCTATATCTATAATCCCTTTTTTTAAACTCAGGAAATGAATCCCAGTTCTGTCTTAAGTTTGTGTTCCTCTGTGTGTTTACAAAGGCTTCCAGTGTGTGTGACAATTGTGTAAAAATGCACTTGCTTAACAACCAGTGGTGGGAATAATTACAGTCAGATAATGCCGTACAATTTGTAGGTTCTTATACTTGAGTATCACCATTTTATAGTTATTATACTCCACAGCTTTTTAAGGAATATTATTATATTGTTCTTCTGCACTTGAGCTTTAGTTTGAAAGTTACTTTGATATGGCCATTTTACAAAAATGATATACATTATAATATATACTAGATTTGAACTGATAAAACAACAAAAAAATGGTGGCATTGGTAATAATTAAACCATAATTATTGTAGGAGTTCAAATAAGATGAAATAAGATAAAAAAACCATAAACAAATTATAAAAAAATAATTAAAAATCTGTGAACAGATTGAATATCAAATCAATATGTTTGCAGATATAATATATAATAGTGCACAGATATAAAATATTATTGATACATAAATGGATTAAATAGTTGTTCAATTAATTGTAAATCTTCAATCTACTGGGAACATTTAGGCTGGTTAAAATCAGTTTCACCTCGATAGACTACAACATGGAAATATTAATTATATATAAAAAAGTTATTAATAATAATTAAATCTCACAATATACAGTTGCAAGAAAAAGTATGTGAACCCTTTGGAACTACCTGGATTTCTGCATAAATTGGTCATAAAATGTGTTCTGATCTTCATCTAAGTCACAACAATAGACAAACACAGTCTGCTTAAGCTAAAACCACACAAACAATTATATGTTTTTATGTTTTTATTGAACACACCATGTAAACATTCACAGTGCAGGGTGGACAAAGTATGTGAACCCTTGGATTTAATAACTGGTTGACCCTCCTTTGGCAGCAATAACCTCAACCAAACGTTTCCTATAGTTGCATATCAGACCTGCACAACGGTCAGGAGGAATTTTGGACCATTCCTCTTTACAAAAGTGTTTCAGTTCAGCAATATTCTTGGGATGTCTGGTGTGAATCGCTCTCTTGAGGTCATGCCACAGCATCTCAATTGGGTTGAGGTCAGGACTCTGACTGGGCCACGCCAGAAGGCGTATTTTCTTCTGTTGAAGCCATTCTGTTGTTGATTTACTTCTGTGCTTTGGGTCGTTGTCCTGTTGCATCACCCATCTTCTGTTGAGCTTCAATTGGTGGACAGATGGCCTTAAGTTCTCCAGCAAAATGTCTTGATAAACTTGAGAATTCATTTTTCCGTCGATGATGGCAATCTGTCCAGGCCCTGAGGCAGCAAAGCAGCCCCAAAACCCATGATGCTCCCTCCACCATACTTCACAGTTGGGATGAGGGTGTGTGTGTGTGTGTGTGTGGAGGAGACGCGTACGTTTTATTAACTTCTTTTTTTGGGTTTACGAAGGTCTTGGTGGTCGATATTGCGTTAATACAATATTTACCATCATGTTAATTATTCAATAGTTTTGTATGAACTACGTTTACACACTGTATAAACGATAATAATATGCCGTTTATTTACACTAGGATAAACGATATATATAATATCAATGGTTCTTTTATTCCTGTGTGTACGTGAGACAGAGGTTCTATGTTTACTGAAGGTGAAGATTTTGTAACTGTCTCTCCGTGCTTGGTTAATGGTGTATTGGTTTTACAGACACAGCCTAGTTACAAAAAAGACTTTCGTACCGGTCCTCATTAGTCGACAGGAGGGAAGGAGGAGTCCGATAACCCAAGATTTCCCTTGGTCGTGTTTATTTCTTCGTCCTCATGTGATGAATAAATGTGTGTAGGTTAGACTCAGGTTGGACGTCGAGAATAGTGTTCGGCCTTAATGTGAAACCGTGGATTAGATCTCCTGCCATTACCATAGACCGTCTCATTGACACGGTACGTCCTATTTCTCGTGATTCGAGCCGAACTTTTATTTCTTAACTACCTACCTACTATCAGCTGTTCGGAAGTCGATGTAGTTCAGTAATATCGCGTCCGACGACACACGTAGATTAATAACTTGTATGACCATGTCTGACTATTGGATCCTCATGGTGGTTTTTTCTTGTATACCTAAATAAATTGTCTTTAATGAATTACCTAAATGACGTAACTTGTGTTTACTCTGACGGGGTAGATTTCATTTCATAAACATACCACCAGATGATCGAAAGTCTGACTTTTGAGACGGTACAACAAAACATTGAGTTCTCTCCTTGGTTAAATTTGTGATTATGTTTTGAGATTTAGTTTGCTTTTCCAAAAGGAACCTATCAAAAGAACAAAATCACCACACACACTAACACTCGAATAACGCAAAGAGGTAAACCATTGTTCGGAAAATTCTTAGGTTAACACTACCAATTCGATTTTTATGAAACCAGATGCTCAGGACAGTTCAAATATTGTATTGTTCGATAAAACACCGGGTCTTGGACACGACTGTACGTCACCCAGCTCCGTAGTCGCTACTACTACTTATGTATACAGCGTTCTAGGAGCGACAGTTTTACTGTCTTGATTATCTTTCGTATTGATGTCTGTCAACTTCAATAGTGACTACGTCGGTTGGGTTGTGTGTAGACAAACTTGGTTTTATATTTACTCTTCTTCTAGTAGTGGAGCGACACAGTGAAAAAAAGGTTTAAATTATGACACCGGGTTCAAAATGATCTATTGAAATTTTCGACTACGTGTCAAATGCTTCAGATAATAATAAACTCGGAATCTTGTTAGTATTTCATAATCGCAGTAAATTCGTCTGTTAGTGTAACACTTTTAGCATGTTTATTTTTACAAACTTGTCGCATTATTTTTGACCCGTTAACTTTAGTATAATGGGTACTGCAATGTAAAAGCCTTTTACAAACACGTCGGAGTACTCTCCTTCATTGAACTTTTGTACGAAAACCAAGACAGTCGGACTTCTACACTCAAACCTCACTCCGGACAGTGGACCGTCGGGTCCCTCCACTACTTGACCATGAAAACTAACTGAACTTCTCTTCTTAAGCCATCCGTAAACTCTGCACTAAATAACGGCTGTAAAGT